ACCGACTGATCGTCAAGATGGCTATTTCAGTTCAAAACCCCATACAAATGTGGAGCACCCCCTTGAAGCAGTGAGACACTTTTTGTAGACATAGCGGAAGCAAATGGTGCGCAACCCAAACCGTCGAAACACGCGCCTCAAGGCTCGAGAAGCAAAGAATATCGCGTCCACACACCCAGTGAATAACCAACACATGCAGACATCGAAGGCTCTGAAACAATCACCAGGACACCCTGTGCACCACTGAGATGCGACCCAATGCTAAGTGGATGAAGGCGGTGCTATACTGACGCCAGTGGCGCCGGCTCTTCGTGCAGCAAAGCAACCATGACTGAATGACATCGAGCCAAGGCACTGAATGCTCGGAACAGCGTTGGATGGACGAAGTGCGACGATGATCCACGAGCGTTATGGAGTTTTAACGTGAATACGGGACGTGTCAGGCGTCCAGGTAGATGGCAATATGTTCATGGCTAGCTCCGATGTGAGTTGTTTATTCATGAGCATTCCCTTGAAAGACACCATCGACATTTTTATGGGTCTTGCTTTCGACGGCTACTGAAATGGTGTAAATAATCATTAAATGCTTCAGTTCTCTTCTATTGGCACTTTTTAACAGAAAGCAGGGGATGGCATAGTGTGCTTTTGAGTCCAGGGTTCGGTAACATTTGTATGTGTCTTTATGAGAATCCCTGGCTTAGTTCTTGTCCAGCTGAATTATGTGCCTTTTGTATCGTAGGTTTGTTGACGATTGTTCTCTTATTTTTAAGTATAAGGCTCATGCTGCATTATTCCTCGATTTGTTAAACTTTCTCGGTCATGCAATGATTAGATTTCCGATAGAAAAGTAGTCACATGGCAATGTGAGGATATCCTGAAGGGAAAATGTCTTGCAAAACCTGACTCCTCCTTTAGGAGAACATTCATTTACATGTGACACTCCAGTTTTGGCCTCCAAATTTAGTATGCGCTAGGGCGGGACATATTCTGCGCTTGATTAAAGAACTAAATAGAGTCTGCAGACATTTTAAAAGTTCCACCGCTAAACATAACTTAGCGCGACTTCATCATATTCGTTGGAACTTGTAATAAAATGAAATATAGCTGTGGATATCGGAGAAAGTCATGTGTCATGCGCATGTGCTTGTGTCGCATTTTCATTCTGCTTGTGTCGTGTGCGTGTTAAACCATCATGAAGTACACTGTAGGAGAAGCAGCAGGGCGAGTCGAATCGAGGTTTGCTCTGAGCTCCCTCCTGCTGTAACCAGTTAGGATATGATTAAAATGACTATATCTGCAGACCGTTACAACCCGCAGCTTTATATGTACCGGTAAAGTTCTGACAGTACATCTCCATTTATTTGGTAAATGACCTATAAATGACCTCCATTTAAATGAGACAACTTTCCCCATTCTGAGGTAAATTGCATCACATCGTGGGAGAAGTTGGGATCATGATTTTGTTGTCATAGAGCAAGAAGCGTCGCAAGCAGGCTGAATGTCTTACATGTAGACCAAATACGCTCGTTTGTACTTATTCGTAATTCTTCGTGGTTGTGAATGACAAAATCAGTTTTATCAGTCCCGTTTGTTTTTACGACGTTTGTCATCTCGATTTCGGTCATTCAGCTAGACAGCATGTATTTACATAGGTAATGTATACGTTATCTTGTTTTCTGGATGGTAATTAGTCATGACAGCCACGTTAATCAATCATTGACAGAAGGTCACTTAATAGCTGATTATCGGCACATTGTATCCCTGATATAGCATGCCCCATACACAGCTGACGCAACTTGTATCATCCGACATCTTAGAAAGAGCTCGCGCCACCCGAAATCCTTGGCAAGCAGACGCCAAATATTTTGCAGTATACACGACAGGTGTGCTTCCCTACCACCCAGTATAACGTTTAGATTGGTCTAGTTACGTTGTAAGCCCTTAAACACACATTTACACCAATCGTTACATTTTTCAACGATACGCAAAACGGATGTTTGTTGAACCTATCCCAAGACAGGTACACGTATGTGGCCAAAAGTACACAAAAAGGTAAAAGGAACTGCTATGCGTCAGCTGAGTGAATGGAAACAGTCATCCATCGCATGAATTTAAAATAAATCAACTTGACACGACTTGAACATAATACAACTTCCCTCTCTCTCCCCTACGTGTGTGTGTTTTTCCTTGCCGATGCAACCGCTGGGTGCAGAGCGCGTCGCCAGTTGATATAAGAGATATATGTATATATGTATATGTATATATATATATATATATATATATTACATATATGTCAACATCAATTGAAAAGTCAGCTGTAAAAGTGCAAGTAAGGATACTAAAATAGGCGAAGTACACACTATCTGCCAAGTATCATTGACAGTAGTTGGATATTTACATTGGTGTCTTTCACACAATCAGTGTGGTCTGGGAACTAAGGATACAAGCTTCTGTCCCCGCACTCAGTAGCTAGACACGCCATTTACAAGACGCTAGCAGCCGTAGCAGGTGTGTGCTGTTATTAAATATGAAGAAGTGTGTTCGTGTTTAGGACGCTGTCATAGAGACGATTTGCTAAGCGGATGAACACTTCCTGTAAAAACAAGTATTGTCCAAAAGCCTAAAGGTCTGCAATGCAGAGCAATACGTTTGTAAACGCAATGGTACACATATCACAGTCTTTTTAATATGAAAATGTCAAACGATAATTTCAAACACACCAATGGCCCGTGGTGTGGTTTCCCACTTAGTTGGGATAGCTTAACCCTCACCAATTTGAGGACAAAATGGGCCAAACCCGCTTGTTGGCATGTGTTTTAGGCATGTTGCGTCATTCTTCACTGCTCAGCCTCCCCGCCCCTTTCAACTCATTTTGTAAAACTGCGCTCTTGCTAATAATCAAATATCTATAAAAGGCCACGAACCCATTCAGCACAGACTATTAATGACTTGAGGCACAAGACGGGAGATGGACGGCCTGCTGCCAGATGCCTAAACGCAACGATTAGCCTCACAGACGGTCTTACACCCCATTAAATTGTCGCACCGCCACGTCGGACCTATTAGTGCCACACCGTTTACATGCGTCCTGGTGGCCGGTTAGATACCCTTCGCCCGGCGGTCAAACTGGCCCCGCTGAGATCTCAGGAATTGGGAAGGCTAGAACCAAATTTGCAGTGTGTGTTGGCCTGTGCGTGAGCTCACTTGGGTCCAATTTTGAGAATGATAGGTCTGAATGATACTGTGAAATTGTGATATGATATGATTTATGTTATTTGTTATTGTATGTTATATATATATATATATATATATATATATGTATAATATTTATATTATGATACATGCTATAATTGATGTGAATATGAAAAATTGTGAATGATATTGTGATAACGATATAATGATATGAATGAATTGAGAATGATAGGAACATTCTGGCCAAATAATGTCAAACAAGATCACACTCCAAATTGGTCTCCAAAGCGTCCCCAGAACCTGGATGCCTGTTCTAAGCATAAGTTCACACGCTCATTTAAGGTCAGTGACGTTGTTCGACCTTTTGAAGGTCATGGCGACCAAAATCATACAAGATTGCATTGAGTTTTACATTCAAATAAGCGACAGAGATTACACTAGGCAGTATGTCCCTAAAAACGAACAGTCGGCCTTGGTCGTTTTAGGTCAGGGATCTATTCTGACTTTTAAGAAGTCCACGGATGGCTCTTGTTATCAATAAATTCGAATCAAGCACCAGAAAATACCTCATGCAGCAAGCCCTAGAGTAATAAAACAGCCTGGTTTTGGCCTTGGCCTGACCTTCATACCTTGCCCTAGGTTAGTGGAATTTGGTCATTCAATTGTGGTGTTGCCTAAGAAAATATCTCAGAGATGTATGACTTTGCTTAACGCCCCGTTATTTCGTCAGATTGAGCGATTCCCTAGAAATTGACTTTGCTGAATCCATGGCCTGACTTTCACCTGCCGTAAGTCAGCGACATTACTACGTGCATCTAAGTTTTTGATACCACACGATCCGTTATTCAACTGTCTACGGCTCTGCAAAGTTCGGCGCGGTTACGCCGCGCCCCTCGAAAACCATTCCTATAAGCTCTCGGGGGGGGGGGGGTGATTTAACCCCCGTCCGAGCTGCGTAACTCCTGGGACGGAAACGCAGCGACTGGCTATGGCACGGCCATCACCGACCCCCACTCGTCTGCGCACAGAGGGCCTGTCTATGAGCCAGCTGATGGCAGTGTTGGAGCAAGACTGCGAGGCATCTAGAGAGCTGCTCGGCCTGATCCAGGCCTACCACGACTGCGTGCTTACATGAGATGGCACCGGTTAACTGTGGCGGACTCGCCACAGCGCCCGCAGCGCCATCTTTTTGTCGCTGCGGCCGCGAGGAGTGCTGTCGGCGCGCTGTAAGCCATCGTTGACCAAACGTTGAAAAATCGGATGACCGACGAACGACGAACGACCCACGCACCACGGACAGTCAGGCTAGCTCGGCGCAAGATTAAATGAGCTTTAGATTCGGAGCTGCATGAAGACATATTCGTTGCACTGCCGGACTGGTTGTTCTATCGAACGCAGCTGAAACGGAATATTGCTCTTTTGCGATTGGATGTGGTCAGGTGCGATAACTGCAGACTACATGCAGTTTGAAAAACATTTGTGAGATGAATTCCACTTCTACACACCTTGCTTCATCTTGGACACACCACCTTGCAATCACAGTTTGTCTTTGCGCAGTTTTTGTGCTTATGGTTTCTTTTCTTTTTATATTTGCACTTTTCGCACCAAATATGCGTGCTGAAAGTCGTGCCAAAAAATGCTGCTATTGTTTTGGTAAGTGACAGGCGAAAATATTTGCTTACTGCGGCCTTAGAACACGGCCGAAAACGCTTAACGTAATTTAGCGGCTCTTTACCAGCCAAAAAGTAGGTGAATTGGCGCAACTAAGACGGTAAAATCGCTTTGGTTTCAATAGGCATCCACACGATCGGGGCTGTTGTTTGGGATGTGGGTTTAGCAATATTTTTCAAGATATATGTTTAGCATGCAGTTAACGTACCGGACCAAATCTAGAGACTGTGATTTTTTGTACCGCATTCAGACATTTTGTGCGGGGCAGTTAGTGCGCTTATGTAGTTCCAGCAATGTGGTTTAGTCATCTCGTGTTATATTCTCAAGCAGTAGATCTTGACTGAGTTGTACAATAAACATGCTGCAGTTTTGGGTAAGTGTATTTTTGTTCAGTGCAGGTGGGTGCAGGCAAGAATTGATAGTGTTAGCTGTGTTTGGGGAAACCCTGGTCACTAAACACACTTGGGTTGTCACTTATTGCACACTAAGCTGGTTTCAGTTTGCTGATTCCTGAGATGGCTTGAGTGATATCTCATGAAGGCAGGTCTACAGTTTGTGCATCTGAAACATATGCAACTCATGAAAATTTCAGTGGATTGAAGCTGCCTGAAACTGCCTTGCATCATTTTCCAGTTTTACCAGCTTTTATCAATAACAATGAGCTCAAACTTGCTTGAGCTCAAGGGTATGATGTATGTGGGTTAATGATATCATTTTAATGCTGTTCTTATCACTTTGACTGTTAATATTGCAGAAGTGGTACTGGGTCCAAAAGCATTTTGAAAATATGATGTATTGCCCATCACTGGCACATAACTGGTTATTATCACCCATGCCAGAAAACTTTGAGGCACATTTTGTGTGATATATGGTGGCTCCCATACCAGGTTTCCTTTTTCTTATAATCAGAGGAGATGTAATTCAAGTCAACAGATACAAGATGTTGCTTTGATTTTCACATTTCCTTAATTGCTATGGTTGTACATGGGAATGCTGCACTGTTTGTGCCTCTGAAGGTCTATTGTAAAGCAATTTCCTGCTGCCCCTATCGAGCAACCTGGAAGCATGGCTGAGTTGTGATGCCCTGTCATTGATCCAGGCTTACACCATGGTCTTCTTGCTGGCCCTGCATTACTGCAGCAGTGAGCAAGCCTGCTTTAAGGATGGCTCTTGTGATGAAACCACATCTTCAGTCTATGACAGGTCAGTAAGTGGTTTGTTATATGTATTACAGATTGAAATAGGTATGAGTGGATAGTCTACCCACAAGTCAATGGCCTGCTCTTGTGGAGTAATTCTGATCTGATAGATGGTTTCAAAAGTCTGTATGGGCCAGCACATCCAATAACTAATGGGCCTCAATACATTTTGTTGAAGGCATCAGCTGTTGTATGTTCTTGGCCAAACACATTTCTGTGAATAATTGGGCTAGGTCAGGCCTGTCATTGGTCATTCAATGACTTGGTTGCAGCAGCCACCCTCACCACTTTCTCCTTCCCTCTGGGGGTAGTTTGAATGTATGGGGTGCTGCCACCTTGGCAGGTTGGCCTGAATGTGCCTAGCAGATGTCATGTGTGGGCACTCCAGGAAGGGGTCTCCTGAGCTGTGCAGCCGCGGATGATGAACGTGGAAATGGTATGGGGTGTGACTGGCAGCAGCGTGGATTGGGGTCGTGGTCGCTTACACATTGGCTGGTTGTGTGAGCATCAGTGAGCTGCTGGTGAGCATAGCCAGCAGACACCGGTGAGTGTGGCCGGTGCTGCGCGAGGGACGATTCGTGTCTGTTGCGGCGTTAAAAGCGGCACTTTCGTCCGGATTCAATGCGTTACCGGACACAAGGCATGCGCAGAGAAGACGTCTTCAACAGCTATAAACATTTCTCGATCCCAACATCTCATGCTTGAAACAGCATTGCTTCGCTAGTTTTTCAGCTCGCTCTCATTTGTAATGAGCCGCATGAACCGCGCTGCCGCCGCATGCCGACCTGCACAGAAGGACACCCGTGTCGCCACAGCCCGACGCCCAGACGGTGCGCGCGTCGGTCTGGCCGGTCACGTCGGCCCCCGTGCGCCGCAGGTACCTGCTGTACGACGTCAACCCCGGCGAGGGCTTCAACCTGCGCCGGGACGTCTACATGCGCGTGGCGAGCGCGGTCGCGCGGCTCAGCGGTCGCGGCCACTGGACTCTGGTGCGTCCGGGGACGGCACGGGCTGTGGCAGGTGCCGCCGCCGTGCCCGTTCGACGGGGAACGAGTCGCCGGAGCGGCTCTGGGCAGCAGATCATGGCCGTCGCTGCATGTAGACATTCCGGAAATGGGCTCAGTTGATCAGTTCGTGTGAAAGACTCGGAGGAATGGGTTGACATGTGTGTGTTTGTGGCAGACCTAGTTTGCTGCTCCTCGTCTGTGGCTTTGAACTGCTTGGGCATCAGGTATGCACAGTAAAATGGCCAGGTGTGGATTTGTCGTCCATACTTGATGCCACATTCATTTTTGGCATTGATCATTGATCCAGCTGTCCAGATTCGTTAAACCGTTTCCGTGTGGTATGACTGGTGTGGCGTCCTCGCATTCGATGCGCCATTCCGGTGTGACCTGGCTGCCGTGCCTGATCAGCTCCCGTGACCTGGCAGGTCCTACCACCGTGGGGCCCGCTGTACCACTGGCAGGTGACGCGCGGTCAACACAGCGTGGGCGTGCCTTGGAGCCGCTTCTTCGACCTGGATAGCCTGGACAAATACGTGCCCGTCATGGAGTTCGACCAATATAGGAAAGGTGAGTGGAATGCCGTTCTGCACTGTGGACAGTTTTGTATGTCTCCAGTGTTCCTATTTTTTTCTGTTTTTTTTTGTCGCTGTTTTTGGCATGGTCTGGTGGTGCTATCGGCAAATTCTCAACAGCCAGTAAATATTTGGTTATCTTCTGTTCTGTTATTTCCAAGTCATACCACCTGAGGCCTCGCTGGTTCAGCCGCACGATAATAATTCCGGCAGGAGCATTGGGGGTCGTCACTATCAGATATGGTGTTCTGTAAGGGCAGGAAAGGAAGGAGATGTTTAACGAAGCCTGGAGCCAAGGTCAAGAACCTATTGCCAATGGTAGCGCAGGTTATCGGCGAAAGCCAGGCCAGTGCAGTCGTGGTGCAGGTAGGAGTATACAATAAAGGGCAGGAGAAGAGTAAGGAGGTGATGAAGGATTTTAGTACTCTTTTGGTCACTCAACAGCAAAGCGAAAGTAGGAAGATAGTAACAAGCATTTTGCCTGGGATCGGAGCACCTCCTGAGTAGAGTTCCAGGGCGCTGGCGGGCAACTCTGGAGAAGAGAAACCGTGTGGTAAGCCTGGCCTGACGTGTGTAGATGTGTGGGGCAGTTTTTCAACTGTAGATACCTGCATCAGAGGCGTGGACTCTATTTCTCTGAGAAAAGTGTGCAAGTCCTGAGCAGGGTATATGAAGATGTTTTTCAGGGAAACTAGCTTATAGGGATGGAAGGGTGAACATAGAAGACATAAAGAATGGTCATTCGAAGTTACGGAAGAGTGAGCCAAAACGAGATGTAGGAAAACAGGTGCTTCTATGCAAATGCAAGAAATATCAAGAACAAGCCTGTCGAGCTTCATGCTCACATGCTGGAAGAAGACTTAAACCGGGTAGCTATCGCTGAATTTTGGATCATTGAGTACCTTTTTGAGGACAGGTAACAGGAATTTGAAGTATCTGGTTGCGACACGTTTACTTTTCGTAGGGAAGCGAAAAAGGGGGTGGAATGCTTATCTATGTAAGGCAGAATATAAAATGTGACATCGCAGAAGGCATGAATAAAGCGATACTGTAGAATCCTTTTGGATTGATTTGATAATGCCGGAGGGCAACAAATTACGTGCTGGGACTTTCTTTTGGCCTCCAAGTAGTTGTCAGGATGTGGACATAGATATGCGAAGAAATCGGCCGAGGTGTTGGGGGAAGTGTGTGGTGCAGGGAGATTTCAACATCACAAGCTGGAGCGTAGATCGTGGCCAATTTTGAAATAGTTACAATAACATTTGTGCATGCTTTGAAGAGAATTTTCTTCAGCAGTTGGTGCGGGAACCCACAAGGGGAGAGGAAATTCTGGATCTTGTTATTAGTAATGAAAATGGTTGGTAGATGAGTTAACACTAGGCGAGACGCTGAGAACTAGTGGCCATAATATTGTATGGTTTTGCTGCATCTAGATTATTTAGGCAAACCTAATCATACTCTTATTCCAGATTTTGCTAGGGGGGAATTTGAAGAACTTACAGTCTTTCTTGCTAGCTTCGAACGGGATGGTTATCTAACTGTACTCACTGCCCGTCATATGTGGGAAATGTTCAAGGATATGATAGAAGAAGGAGAGGAAAGGTTCATTCCTTGTAGCAAAATGTGAGAAAATAGCTCAAGGAAGCCCCTATAGCTGACACGAACAATGCGCAATTTGAAGGCAGTGAACAAAGCGACATATCATGGGCAAAAAGTGCAGAGCACAGAAAGCAGCAAGGCGGCGTATAGGATCGCCATCAAAAAAGCTAACGAAGGAATTCAGGAAAGCAAAATAATCATGATAAATGAATCTAGCGGGCATTTGCTCTGGTGATTTTAAGAATTGTTTTGGCTACTATAAGTTCAAGTCCAACGGAGCCTCCGTCGGTACCCTCGAGGAAGATGGAAAGCTGTAAGTGAAGAACTAGGATATTGCAGATGCTCGTAGCAGGCAGTTTTCTTAAGTTTTTGCGAAGGAGTTCGTGTGTGATGTCCCTGGTAGTGGACAAAATTTGACGTAAGGGAAACCTTGTTTTGACGGCTGACCGGGGTTTGGCAAGGGAGAGCTTGATGGAAATCAAGGTTGATAAGACGGCCAGGCCTGACCAGATAGTATGGTAGTGTGTTAATGGGTGCGCGTGTGTTTTAGCTTATCCGCTTATGCTAATATTTGACAGGTCATTGAGTTTTTCAGAAGTACGTGAGGGCTGGCGCAATACCAATATAGCACCGGTATTTAACGCGCGCCCGGGTGGCCGGCAAGATACTCTTCGCTCGGGTGGGAGGGGGTCAATTTGACCCCCTGAGATCTCGGGAGCTAACAAAGCTAGGTACACCAAATTTGCAGGGTGTGTTGACCTGTACGTGAACTCATTTAGGTCAAATTCTGAGGTTCCTGGATCACGACCTTCGGGTCAAACAAGGTCAAACAAGGTCAAATTCCAGGTTGGTCTTGAAAGTGCCCCCAGAACCTAGATAACTGTTTCTAAGCAAAAGGTGATATGTTCATCTAGTCAGTGACCTTTTTGGCCTTTTGAAAGTCATGGTGACCAAAATTATAGGAGACTGTTCTGAGTTTGCATTTTAATAAGCGACAAAGATTACGCTAGGCAGTATGTTTCTTAAAAACAATGTTAACCTGGGTTATTTTTTGTCAATGACCTATTCTGACCACTAAGAAGTATCCATGAAGCAACCATGGAAGATGTATAATGCGTGTCCTGCTATCAATAAATTCAAAATGCGTACCAGAAACTATCCCAAACAACATGCGCTAGAGTAATAAAACAGGTTGGTTATGACCTTGGTCTGGCCTTCATACCTGACCTTAGGTCAGCGTAATTTGCTCATTCAATATTTTGGTTGCCTAAGAAAGCATCTCAGATATGTATGGCTTCGTATAACACTTCGTCGTTGCATCAGATTGAACGATTCCCTAGAAATGGACTTCGCTGAGACCATAGCCTGACTTTGACCTGCCATAGGTCAGCAACCTTACAAATGACATCTAAATTGTGCATGTCAAACAATCTGCTATTCAGTTGTGTACAACTCTGCAAAATTTGGCGGGGCTATGCGTCGCCGTTCGGAAACCATTGGGGAAAACCTTCGCGGGGTCAATTTGACCCCTCACCCCACCCAAGGGCGTGTTAAAAGGGTACCAAAAAGAGTGTCAGCAACTACAGGTCTGTCAGTCTTACCTCACTAGTGTGTAAGATCATAGAGAAATTAATTAAGGCTAGCAGTCAGTTACACTCAGATAGGCATCAGTTGATCAATAGTATTTCAGCATAGCTTTCTCCTGTAGGCCCTGCTTGACAAATCGTCTGGAGTTCATGGAGTATGTTACAAGTCAGGTAGGTAAAGATGATGGTTAAGATGTTATTTATGTAATATTTAGTAAAGCGTTTGATAAGGTGCCACACCAGCATCTCTAATATCAGTTGAAAATGCATGGTATTGAGGGAAAAATTAATGGCTGAGGGGGGGAGGGCTTGGCTGCAAGACAGGAAACAATGGTACTACGCCCAATGGTGCTAAATCTGAGTGGGAGCTAGTAGAGAGTGGAGGCTCCGCAGGGGTCGGTGCTGGGTCCTTTGTTCTTTGTTATTTTTGTGAATTATATTAAGGTAGGATAAGACAGTAAGGTGGTTAAATTTGCTGACGGCATTAAATTGATAAGGGTGTCGAAAAACGCAGACCAGGTGAAACTTGACTTAGAGAAGCTAGTGAACTGGGCGTCTCTGGGGCAGATGTCATTAAATTACGATACGTGTAAGGTGATGAATATGGGTAGTTATGGCAGTGAGGGCATTAGCCACAAAATGGTAGGAGAGAGTCAGACCGGATCGAAGATGAGAAGGACAGAGGGGTTATAATTTTCAGGGATTTAAAGGCTGAAAAGCAGTATGGGGCTGCTAGGAGCAAAGCACTTCCCATGCTGAGACTTATGAACAGGAATGTCCGTTACAAAAGTAGGAATGTTGTCATCTAGTTGTCCTTAGCGTCTGCTGGACCACACCGAGAGTATTGTCTACAGACTTGGCCCCCATACTTCCAAAAAGTTATGGATAGGCTGGATAGAGCGCAGAGAAAAGCAAGATCCCCATGCTTCCAAAAAGTTATGGATAGACTGGATAGAGTACAGAGAAAAGCAACTGGGGTGATAAGTTGGATTGGCAACTTAGAATATAAGGATAGGCTATGAATTTGTATTCACTGAAATAGTGTAGACCCAGAGGGATCTGAAAGAGGGACTCAAGATTATATGAGGGATAGACAAGCTAGATCTACAAGGAGCACTGGAAATTAGGCCGAGACTCAGAGAAAACCAGTTTCAGTTAGCAAAAGGTAGGAGTTGAACTATGAAGAGGCAGATGTCATTTAGTCAAAGAGTAGTGAGTCATTGGATGAACTGCCAAATGAAGTTCTAGAGAAAGTCCCTCCTTGGCAACATGTAAAAATCGTTTGGACAAGTTCTATCGTTCTGAGGGTCTCATTTATTCTAAATTCAGGTAGTTCAGTTAGTAAGATTAGAGTCAAGGATGGGGGCAGAACCTGGGGTAGGTAGGCTGGGGTAGGCCAAAGACCTCGATGGGTCCTTGCGGCCCTTTGTTGGCCTGAGATATATATGTCTATATGTCCATATTACCTCACAAGTGTTGTCATGACTGGTACGTTCACGCCGCCAAGGTGCACGTGCGTGCGCGCGTGCTCCCATGTATGCGTGCGCACGTGCGTACGTGCTGTCTGTGTTGTCTTGTGCTCAAACCTCGGGCTCGTCTGCCGTCCTGGACGCCCGGCGACGCCTCGCACGCGGCGGAGCACGGCGGGGGGGGGGGGCTGCCGGCGGCGGCGCCCGTGATGAGCGCGTCGTGCCGTTCCAGAGAGCGGCGCGCGGGTGGAGAGCGCCCTCCAGCTGCAGGACTACGCCGAGGGCTGGCGCGACGGCCAGTTCGACGAGAAGTGGGACCGCAGACCGTGCCTGCACAAGGCAAGATTTAGGTAGTGCTACCGCACCGTCTGGCCCCGTCGCCGCCGTCTTGGGCAGACCTGTCGCTGCTGCGCGGCGCCGGGAACGGTCACGCGCTGACACTGTCAGCGCGGCGCTCTCGCCGAGCGCCGACGGCTACTACAGTCGGCGCGAGGATGGGTGCGGTGTGAGCACGTGGCGGATTGAACTTTGAGGAGCTGGGCACGCGTGTGTAGAAATATAAGCTTTCCGAAGATCATTACGGCTTCAGCGTTCGTGGTACGTTGCGTGATCAGTATCACAAGCATGGGGAGTTCTTGATAGCATGCGGCTTCAGCGAATGTTCGACCGCAGCTGTTCCACGCATTGGGCTGGCATAAAGCTGGATCCTGGTGTGCTGGTCTTTTCCAGGCGGTCAGGGGAAGACCACGAGGCCCTCATGTGGGGTGAAGTGACCCTTCGCGTGGCCTACTTCAGCTGCGTGTCAATACAGGGCACCTCGGAGACTCTGGCGGACATGGTGGGCAGCATGCCACACAGGTGCGGTTACCTCGCGGCGCGATCCGTCCCGCCAGGTTACCGCCATTTAGGACCGGGTTTGCGCGCGGTCACAGGTTTTCCGACCTGTTGCATGATGCTCAGGTTATGTCATGTTGAGGTCAGCTCTGCCTGGTGGTGGGTCACGCCACCAACAGCCTAATGTCTCGTTTCTGTTGACCATTCAGGCCGGCTGCTCGCCGGGCGACCCTGGACTTGACTTGTGTGAGCTCAGAATTGAAGCTCTTTGGTAGCGTGGTTCATCTGAGCGTTTAACACGCGCTCTGGTAGGGATCAAATTGCCCCCCTCCCCGACGGTTTTTTCAGAATGGTTTCCGAACGGTGTGGCGCAGCCACGCCAAATGCTGCATAACTGTTCACAATTGAATAGCAGATCGCTTGGTGTAAAACATTTATGTGTGCCTTGTAAGGTCACTGACCTACGGCAGGTCAGAGTCGGGCCATGGTGTCAGCAAAGTCAGTTTCTAGGGAATCGTTCAGTCTGATGCAACAACGGAGAGTTTGACGAAATTATGCATCTTTGAGATGCATTGTTAGGCAACACAAGTATTGATTAAGCAAATTAAGTTGACCTCAGGTCAGGTATGAAGGTCAGATCAAGGTCAAAACCAACCTGTTTTATTGCTGTAGGGCTTGCTGTATGGGATATTTTCTGGTGCTCATTTTGAATTTATTGATAGCAGAAACTGCATCATACATCCTCAATTGACTTTTTATAGGTCATAATAGGTCATTGACTTAGGATGACCCAGGTCGATATTTTTTAAAGAACATACTGCCAAGAGTAATATTTGTCCCTTATTCAAATGCAAAAAAAAACTTTGATCTCCCCCCCCCCCCCCGCCCGAGCGAAGGGCGAAGGATATCTAGCCGGCCACCCGGGCGCGTGTTAAAGCTTGTGCGACCTTGTTGGCGTTAACTGAACGTCCTGGTCATTGAGATTCGGAACCGTGCATACAGTGAGGGCCTAGACCTCACTATGCCATTCGCAGGATGTGCGTTACAACACCGCTGATTTCTGCCCGCCTGTCCACTCCTGATGGAGCAACTGTGGGGCGAAAATTCCCTCTCATGAGAATCGAACCGGCGACCGTCCACTCGTATCTTAACGCCGGAACCAGCCGCCCTCAACGGCCGCCCCCGGCAGGTCCGTGTTGGTGGACCGGGCCGAGGCCGTGCTGCACCGCCACTACGGCAGCGCCGACTTCTGGGCGGTGCGGCGCAGCATGCGCTTCGCGCGCCACCTGGTGGAGGAGGCGGCCGCGCTGCGGCGCGACCTCCTCCGGTCGGATGACGTCACCGACCGCACAGAGTACTCTGACGACTGGAGGCAGATGAAGGTGCGTAAACGGCGGGACGGACCTCGGCCGGTGGCGTGTGGGTGTGGGTGTGGGGTGTGTGGCGTGCGCGTGCGCATGTGCGTGCGTGCGTGGATGATGGGGCCCGGATGATGCGCTGTGTCCGCGCTAGAATTTGCAATGTGGCTGGTTTACCACGCCGGCTGACATCACTGCATCAATTGTGGTCGTGAACGAAGGTAATTGTGCTTAAGACAAGCTTTGTGTAGCGTCAGATCACAGTGCCTCGCCATATAGGCTGCAGCTGCTCTGCGCAAATGTCGTGACCAGTCCCACAACATCGACTTCTCAACGTCTGCCGCCCCTTGAGATGAGGTCCCGCTCCGCCCATAACCAGCGCCCGCTGGCGGTCCGGACAGGCGGTGCCCGGTAGCGCCCGCGGCGGTCCCTACCTGGCCGTCCATCTGCGGCGGCGCGACTTCGTCTCGGGCCGGGCGCGCACGGTGCCGTCGCTGGCGGCGGCGGCGCGCGCCATCTCGGCCGCGCTCGGCCGGCTCCGGCTCGACACGGTCTTCCTGGCGACGGACGCGCCACGCTCAGGTGCGCACCGCGCCGGCGGCCGGGCGGTCGCGTCGCGGAGTCACCGGGGTCGAGCTGGGGGGGTCACTAGCTCGTGCGGGGCCTGGCGGGACAGCGATGGGGATTGACGGCTGATGGGTTTGGCTTATCGGTGTGACTGGGGTGGAGGCTGGAGACTGTGATTGCCGCCACAGTGGGAGAAGTTATAACGCGCGAGAGAACTACAGCATCTGTTTTAGAGTGCGTGCGCGCTCTGGAAATGCGATGTCCTTTGACGTTGCAAGCGCTGGTGGGCCTGTGGGGACAGGTGGCTGCAATCTGAAGGCAAACCTGGAGCGGAGGGGATGAGGTGGTTAGCTAATCAGATGCGGTCATAAATGTAGCCACAGCTGAGCCATGATAAGTCACCGAGTTTGGGAAGGTTCGGGATTTTTACGTGGGACGAAGCCCGGTGGTTGAAAGCTGCTTCAGTGAAACTCCCGGGCGTGAACGTTGTAAAACAGTCAGAATTTCTAGGCTCTGCTTGATATTCTCCAAGCTTTTCCTCAGATCATCGTGTACCTTGGCATACACGGTTACGCGTTGGCTAGCATGGCACGCAACAGCCGTCAATTAACCAATCATTACGGCTTTCTGATAACCGATAAGAAGCTGGTGTGTCGAGATCTTGTAAGTGCGCATCATTATGGGGGGGGGGGGGGGCTCAGGAAAGTGGGTCGAGCTAATTTTCGTTGTGTCTTGTGTCCCCTTTTCAGGACTGCAAAGGTTTCGGTAAAATCTGCAAGAAACGTGACGATGACCAAGCCTTTGTTGTGGTCTTTCGTTGTTTCTTGCGTACGTTTTCCGAGGTGTTAAAGGTTGCGCTGGAGTCCGCAAGAAAGCTGACGTTCACCAAGCCTTTTTGGGGCTGACGTCACCGTCAGTGTGACGATGACGTCATGGCCCCATTGCCTAACTTGGCGCCAGTTAGCCAGCTCACTTTGTCGAGCATTCATGCACGGGGGGGGGGGGGTCCAGAAGAGGAATATCAGATGAGTAAGTGGGCATGACGTGGTTTCGGAAACAATGAGTTCCAATCTCCAGGAAGGAATCAGACGCGCGGCAGCTGTGTCGCTCTGATGTAACGAAATGATGGAGTTTGCCCCGCCGCTCCGTAAGCGCGGGCATGCAAGCGTACGGACTTCGTTCGGATAGGCCTGTACGGCGTCCTCAAAGAGCTGCAGGGTCGGGCGCAACAGCAGGCCGGCTTTGGCGGACTCTTCTTTCATCAGCAGCTCAGAGAAGGCCATTTGTTGCTGAGTTTACCACAAGCAGCCAATAAGGTAATGAGACGTCTAGACATTCGTGGTCTTTGGGTAGGCCGCTGCATTGCAGTTTATCCGGTACCGTTCCAGATGTCCCGAAACCGAAATGTATCAACATAGAGATGTAAACTGCATCACATAGGTCCAGCACATGCAGTGCCTATCGTGGAATTCATCCTCATAAAGCATATCCACCGATCATTGGACCTCCTAGCCGTCTCCGGCTCCAAAAGCTACAAACTCCTCGTACTTTGTAAGACTATATGAAACGCGCACGTGTGAGCACGGGGAATCTTCTGCTGCTCCCTGTGTTGATTACGCTAATGGGGTGTCGTGTGTTCCTGCGCTGTTCCGCCGCGGGAGGCGTACCCAGCACAGGCCAGAAGCTATCACGCCACATTTGCCGTCCCGGCGGCGGCGTTGTCAGTGGCCACTTGATCTCCCAGCGAATGTTCGGAGTTTGATTCGCATGCAGCTTTGATTGGTAACGGGAGGCCGGCCGGTACCGCTTCATTCAGGAGCCCCGCAAGCCTGAGCGGATTGGTCACGGCTCGCGTCCTCAGCGGACGCGGTCCGACAGCTGTCAGAAGCGGACTCATCCTCTCCCCGGACCGTGGCGCGATGCCGTGCGTCGAGGGGCGCGGCCAGCAGCGATTAGTCTAGATTAGTCAGTCTGAGTGATTAGTGTTTTGCTCCGCTTCGGCGAAATCTGCGCACGCTCATTTGGCGAGGGCATGTGGTTGATGAGCCGGGCTACGGAGAAATCATGGCGCGTTGGGCAGATTAGTGTGTGCTTTAGTGGAACCGTATAAGGGAAGGTTTTGACGGCCATGGCATGTTGGAAAGCGCATGCGGTCTCAGTGATGTAGTCCTGCTGTCCGGCACGCAGGCATTGCCACCATACAAAATTTTCAATTTTGTCATGCTGTACGCCAGGTGCTCACGTGCTGTGACTTATTATTAGCGTTAGTGAATCATTAATATTATTATTATTGGCAGATGGATTAAAAGGGCCTTGGATACGGAGACACGGAAATGCTGACTCTTGGCTCGGCGGCGGTGCTGGCCGTCCGGCCGCCGGCAGAGGCCCCAGCGCCGGACGCCGGGAGAGCGCCGGGCCCCAGAGCAGGGTCACCGGGGGCGGTGAGAGCGCCGGCGGGGGGGGTGGGGGCTGGCCGTCCGGGCGTCGGCAGAGGCCCCAGCGCCGGACGCCGGGAGAGCGCAGGGCCCCAGAGCGCCGGGCCCCAGGGCAGGGTCACCGGGAGCGGTGAGAGCGCCGGCGGTCGGGAGGTGGGGCTGGCCGTCTGAGGCCTGTGGGGCTCGTGACTCGTGAGGCGGCGCGAACCGGTCCCGGCGCGGTCATGCACCGCCAATTGCCGCGGATCGGATCGTAAATGCACTCGGAGTTAGGCCAGGTCAGGCGGAGCGGGCGCGCTCAGTGCAGTGAGGAGTGGCTGTGGCTGGGTGATGAGACACCTCGCGATGGATGGGCTCTGATAGCGGCAAGGTGCGGCAGAGACCGCTGCAGCGGCAGAGGGTGGCGTAAAACAAGAGGCAATACTGATGTAACAAGGCGGGGTTTTCAGCACGATGTACAAGGACTTCTAACGAACTATCAAAGCGAGGAATTATCTTTCTCGGGGAGGACACGTATTGCTTGGAAATTGAACAAAGACCAGCGAATAACAACGTCCGCCAGTCGCTTGGCACACATCGACGTCCGCCAGTCGCTTGGCACACATCGTTTGTGGTCGGAAGGCGTGTCGATGACGCGGCTTATTTCAACCCGCCGAGATGATGAGGCCGGCAGGTGGGGCCTCCCCGCCTGCGTCCGGTGGCCGGCTGTAATTTGAGTGTCACACCGCGTCCGCAGTCGTTCGACAGTCGGTGTGCGGAGGTGGCTGGCCGTGAGCCGGGCATGAACGACGCCCTGCGCCGTCGACTCCTGTTGCATGTTTGTCGGCGCCGGCGGCCGGCGAGCGGCGCGTGCTCGCGTTATGACTCGTGAGGCCGACGCGGCTCGGTGCCGTGCCGTCGGTGCCGACGCGTGAGCCGGTCACGGCGGAGTGACGTCGGTGTGGGTGCGCAGCGGCCGTCCATCAGTAATTGGTTCGGGAGTTGCCGACTGAGCCCAGCGGGGTGCTTCCACGAGCTGGTATTGTGCTCACCCTTTGTCCTGTTAGATATGGTGTCTATTTTCGGCTCGTCGCATTCAACACTAGTCGTATGAGTTCACAGTTCTTACGCTGACCTCTCGACCTTCCATACATCAGGAGGTACTGGTCAACACGTGCCCGGATGGCCGGTTGAGTACTCTTCGCTTGGGTGGGGGCCAGTTCACCCCCGCGATCTCAAAGCTAAGAGAGGTATAGACACCAAACTACCAGGGTGCGTTGGCCACATGTAAACTCATTTGTGTCAAAGTGTGAGGTTCGTTGGTCTTGACCTTAGGGTTAAATATGGTCAAACATGGTTAAACCCCATATGGGTGTCATGTACCGATAGCGTCATATCAGTATTCGGCGCCCCGTTTAAAATTATTTTGTCAAAACGTTGGGGTGGGGTCAAATTGACCCCCACTCGAGCACGTGTCAAACGACGTTATAAAACAAACCATGGTTAAGTTGACAGTAATCGGTGAGCTTTCCTGCCACTGTGCAGTTTTCATACATTAAGTAACCGTGAGTTTCCGTGCGGCTGTGGAAGTTGCTTGCGCAGTGCACAGAAGGCTCCTCCGTTTGCAAGATGTTCCGACTTACTCCGGACAAGTGTAAATGCGAGGCCGGGCGCTGCCGTCGGCGATCGCACAGCGTGAACGGCAGCGATGTCAGGCTGACCTGATGTGGGACCTCCTGCGTGGCGCACTGTCGCGCTCTGAGGTCGTCTGGCGCTGTTTCAGAGGTGCGCCAGCTGAAGGAGCTGCTGAAGCCGTTCACGGTGGTGCGGCCGGCGCCGCGGAAGGACCTGCTGGCAGGCGAGGAGGCCATCGTCGACCAGATCGTCTGTAGCCACGCCAGGTGCGCACTGCCACCGTTTCGCTCGGCCCTGGCGTCGCCCGCCTTTCGTGGCAGGGCTGAAAAGAGGACGGCTCTGGACAGAAGACACTGATGTGCCCAGTTCCTTGCCCTCGCTTCTGTCACTTTCTCCAGCGCAGGAACTTGAGCAGAGACACGCGTCAGTGATGGTGGCCTGGCCGTCGTGCCGCCTCCGTAGCGTCCTGCTACCATTGCGCGGTCTTCCCATCCGCTGTCTGTCGCCCTCGCCCTCGCCATCCTCGACCCCTTCGTCGCCACTTTTCCGTGGGGCAATTCCGCCCCCACGTCCGTGGGCTGTGCATGCACGTGCTGGTATCGGGTCCAGCCATCGGTCCCGCATGGTCTCGTATTACGGCGTGGTCCCAAAAGTTTGCGCGGGGCCCGTCGTCGCGCATCGACGGCTGTCCTGCACTCGCTGGGCGTTGGTGGGTAACTGGAGGACTGTCTCATCGGGCGATAATTCGATGTTAAGCGCACCCCCTCACCTCAGTTGTGCGCCGGGCACGCTTCAGCGGGATCGCGTCAGGGGAAACGCGGTGAAGCTGATCGTCTGTCCAGTTGGTACACGGAGCATTCAAGTGCATGAACATGCCTCGTTTACTTAATTCAGCGCGCTTTCACGAAACACGACCGTGTCTCTTTAAACGTCAGTATGAGGCTTACTCAAGTGGAGTATCGTCGCGGATCTGGCCACGCCGTCGCAAACCTCGAGGGCGAGGGACAGATAAGTTGCAGGTGCACAGCGTAATTCCACCTGCGCTTCTGTAAGAAGCTTGCCGCGACAATCGGGTTGCGATAAGGCGACACTGACGGCCATCTTTTGGTTTTTACTCTATGGCGCATTTACTTGCGTGCGCCACAAAAAAAAAAAAAACGGAGAGGGAGAGCAGCACCGACGCCTCTCGTTCAGTCGCGACTCTTCGACACCCACGGACGATCGGATCGATGGCTGACTGTGGGCATTGCCTATTGAATTGGCCATTGAATGATTGGATCACTGGGCGCATTCACGCACGCTACTGACGAGTCGGCTCAGGAGGACGAGCTGACGGCTCACGAACGGGGCACGAGCACAGTCACGAGACTCACGGACACGAGAAACCCCATCGTCTACACGTGCTTCGTGCTTTGTTATGGTTCGATGGACTTGCATGCACTAGTAAATAGTCATCAGTAATCGCTGGGCGGCGGTCGATCGTGAGCTGAAAATTTGTGTGTGTGTCGGGCATTAAGCATAAAAGCCTGTCTGAGGCGTGCAGACACCCTCACATCATCAGCTATTTCGTACATGCTACTCTGGTGTGTACGATGCTGGACGCGGGCTGCTGGATGTCGATGTCTTGTTTAGCAGTGTCTGCTGTTGTCCGCGCGTAGCGACACAACAGCTGAGGTCCAGCCTCACAGACCCCTTCACGTCGTGGCCGGTCGGCCGGCCGGTGGGCGGAGGTCGGGGTGACGCCTGGCACCAGCCGCCACCACTGACCCCGGCGCCCCTGTTGCAGGCACTTCATCGGCAGCTACGAGTCGACCTTCTCGTTCCGGATCCAGGAGGAGCGCGAGATCCTGGGCTTCGACGCCGAGTCCACGTTTAACCGGCTGTGTGGAGAGGCCGAGGGAGACGCCTGCGACCAGCCCACGCGCTGGCGCATTGAGTACGACGCGTGACGGTCCCTGTGACCTGGTCTGAGCCAAGGGGTCGTGGACAGACTCGTCGACAGGCCGCGGCTGGCCCGGCACGGGGTGGCACGGCCTCTGCTGATTGGGGCGTTGCGCATGGGTAATCGAACCGCCATCGGGCTCTCACCGCAGCACGTCATGTACCGCCGGCGGTTGGGCCGCACGGCCTGCCCTCACGTGACCTGACCTGACACGGTGGGACAAAACGGGTCGCTCGCCTGCTCCGAGCTTCGGTGGCGACTCCGGCCAGCCCAGACGCCACTATCTGTGCTGCCCGCTTTCGTCCCGTGGCCGCTCTGCCGTATCCGGCCCTCGGTGGATCCCAGCCCCCGCTGACCGCCGTCGGTACCTCTCGCCTGGCTTAAGGCCAGACTGCCGCGTCTCGCGTGTTACATGCGGACGCTTGCGCGACACCGCTGAGGTCGCGCGGACGGCCCGTTTTAGCCGTCAGCCGCCAGTCGGAAGCGCGGCGGCGGCGGAGCTCGACCGAGCAGCGTGGTGTTGAGTTACTAACCGACGCTCAGTTATAACGCGCGGCAAATGGCTTCCTACCGCGAACGCAGCGCGCCGCCCCGACGTCTCGGAAGCCGGCGCCGGCGCGTGGTTCGAGCTAAGCGCCTGATGGGCTGAAATGTCCGAAGTCGACCAGGATCTCGCGGCGCCCTGGCCGATCAGTCACTGTGAGGCAATGTAGTCTGACGCGCAGAGGAGCGCTGGCGCTTGTAGTGATATTAGTGACATCGGCGGTTTGCGGCAGGGTGCGGGGACAGGCCAGTGTATTGTAATGTATTTGATGTGCCAAAGCAAGCTTGAAACCGCTTCCTTGCGCTCCGCATCAAGCTGTAATAAATGGCTATTTCGTATGTGTTCTGCTGACGCATTTTAGTCGCCGTGGAGGGGATTTCAGGGCCATGGGTCTGTTCTCATCGCGTCCTAACGCGTAGTGTCGATAGGGTCCATGCAATGATAGTTGCAAACGGTCAGTATGACTCTGGTGATGCTCAATTGAGGGCATCTGAGTACCGTTAACACTCATTCCAGTTCTGCCACCGATCCGTCCAGATGGCGCTTGGATAACCTAGCGTGTAATAGGATGGCACGGATCGCATCCCGGTGTTAATCCTCCTCCCGCTTATCCCCCGGCATGCACGTGTGCTCCCACGCGGTCTCGGCCCTTGGCGGGCCAACGTGCTACGGGATGTGTGGGTGCGGTTATGCGGTCAAGACGCCTAATCGGTCGCGTGCTCAATACCGAGACGGATCGACTAGCCGCTCGAGTGGGAACTGGAGGTCTGTGTGGCTGATCCTTCGTACCGGTGTCCAGGATTCGCCAGTGCAAGGTGAACGTGACCGGTGGTTTGCTCTTTCAGTCCGCAGACACGGGGGGATTGCCAGGTTTAGAATGATTGCCGGGCTGATTCATAGCGGTTCATTGCTTCAGGCTCGAGGATGCGCTTGAACCGATGGGAAATTGGACATTATCTTGTGAAGGCCAACTTGGTTCTCCAGGCAACGCCGGCCCGGTTTGATATTTTTTCTTGTATCTCAGCATAGTTCCACGTCTGCACTGCACAAGCTACATTGCGCTGACAAGCGAAGGTGCTGCAACATTTACCGTATGTTACAACCCAAGGTCGTTGAGCAAATGAAGGACGTTCCATATATTACAAAGCAGTGCTATGACCAGGGGTGCCACTTTAAAAACGGTTGGGGCTCAGCCGACAGGACTGACCTAGCCTGACCTCCAGATCTGACTTTTCTTCAGATGTGAGCCACTAATTTGCGTATCGGGGGTTCGAAGCCACATTATTTACGTTCTTCGATTCAAAATAGTTTGCTGCGGAGGAAGCAACACACTGTATTTTGCAGAAGAATGTGCCATTTATTTGTAATACACTCGCATTGCAATGTCATTGCAATCCGATGTGAAGCTGCGTCACGTGAGCTTAGAATGGTTGTGATCAATGTCAGCACCAGTAACTAGAACGAAACCTGTAACTAACCTGTAACTAAACGAAATTTACAAACGATGCGAAACACCGTTATGAAATTATAGACTTGTTCCGTTTGGTGTGTTCTGGCAATGGCAATTTTTAACGGCGTGTCCAAAAAGCCTATGTCAGTGGCCCAAACTTTAAACAGCAATGCGACAGACCGAAAGCATGGCTACAGGAGGGGTGTGAATGTTCATTGAAGTTCTGAGAAACAAATGTATTTTTAAAATTTGCAAAACATTTGTCTACAGCATGACTATTTTCATCGTAAAATGGCGTTCATTTGTGGATAATCCACACTTTCACTTTTAAGCTACGCGAAAAAGTAGCGGGCATTTTCCACACCGACTCATACCAGCAAGAACATAACCATGTCCTCCCATGGGTGTCGGTTTCTCAGTGATTGGGTGGGCCAGATTCTTGGAAGTCGCTGTAAGAGACAGGTATAAAAACTTATTAATATAGCGTATTTATGTTGTTAGATTTCTGGCTATGAAGCTATTTCTATCTGGCTATTTCTGGCCAGTATATATATATATATAATATATATATATATATATATATATATAATATATATATATATATATATGATACATAAATGTAGATGGCTATTATATAAACTAAACTTGCTACATATATTTAAGGTCATGTGCGTAGTAACAACAGTCACGTATGGAAGCCTGGCAGTTTCAGTCATCTTCATGTAAATACACTTGTTTTGTGAAGGTTCACAAGACAATTAGAGCGTGTACTTGCACCCTTCCCCTTGAACGCTGAAAAGTGAAATGTGTGCACTTCAGTATTTTATCGTTTGGTATATACACTTATGTATTCACAAGGAATAGCGACCCAGGCCGCGCGGCCAGCGCTCGGCACTGGAAAGTGGGGCATAACAAAGACAGTTTCTGTTTGATATTTTATATGCATACCATCCATAACTGGAGTAGAAGTCAGAGGCCAGCGTAAAATCAGTTCTGCCTGAAGTTTGTCGCCAAAGCGCTAAATAACTGATTGAAAGATAAACAACTCTTTAAACGACTGCGTGAAACAAATGGTCGCAGCTCTCCCACTTACGAAGGTCCCAGTGGAATTCTTGCTAATACGATGGATCTCAGAAACTTAGAATTGTTATCTGGTGCTTTGCAGGCATATTAAAAACTGCGCAAATGTAGATTGTAGATCGAAATGGTTTCAACCATTTGTAGTAACGTGGTCAAACCAGATTTTCCTGGAAGTGCTCAGCATTAAGTCAGTATCGGATACATATTATGTAGCATAGTTATTGCCACGCGCGCTCGCCAATATCGGCAACAAAATCTCGACGTCAGGCGTTGCAGTCTCCTTAGCCCGCGCAATTTCGGTCTGGCAGGTTATATTGAGCCGTGGTCAATGGCCAAGCGAAAATGATGACACTTCTGAAAGAAGTATTTCTGAAAGCTGTAGGATATCAAATCTCGCATTTAGAGGGTAGTCCGAGCGAAAATTTCACACATGCGTGATTTTTAGATCAATGTTAGGGAAGGATTGGCCTCTACAACACCGCAAAGTGCAACTGAAATCTGGTGGTGGAGCTGGGACAGTAAAGGTGAAATCTATATTTTCCGTGTTGCTGTATCTGTTAATCTGTCCAGAGGACAACCTCAAAGTTGTAAAGAAAAATACGCCCGGCCTAATCCTAATTTAAAAAGGCCTTGGTAGCCATCACTTCACGCCAATCGTTCTGGCGCACACGGCGCCCGCCGCCCGGTGTCACTGGCACTGGCCATCGCCGTCCGGTTTTACGGAAGCTGTAACCCAGCCCATTGATGTCCTTGCTCCCGAGATTGCGGGTGCGAAGTTTTTGCTGTGATTTGTTTCATTAGTCGAGTCTGTAAAAGAATAGACGTTCTTGGGCAACGATGGGATATCCTTGTCCGTTTTTAACTCATTCGACCCACTGTATTCAACACTAATGAGACCCCATATGTCTTTCCGGGAAGGGGCCCACTTGAGTAGAACATTAGGGGCACATTACTGTTCCCGGTAGAAGCCTGCATTGTCATTCCGTCTCACACCGCGCGGTGTCTTCCGGCTGCCATTCTGGCGACACGGGCGGGATTCCCTGGCCGGTCCGGAGGCCTTTGCAGGGATGCATCATATCACATTGCTCCTTTCCCTCACGGGGGAAACCTTATGACTGGTACAGTTGGCCCCCGATTGGTGCAGGAGCCCTCATTGACGTCACAACATTCCTGATCGCTACAGATTGTCCAATAATTGTTACAGACTCCAATGCTGGAATTGGGTAGGAGGCCCTACTGTTCGGTAGCGGAGTCCTGATTAACGCAGGTCTTCCATTGTATCAATGTAAATGCTCATCATAAGTTCTCAGGCTTTCTTTCACTGTCAGAGGACCCGACCAACGCAAGAGGCCTTCCGCCATTCGGGGCTTCGTCTTCGTCCACATTGAGCAAATGTTTCCTGGACCGACTCGGACCCCTTATTGACGCAGAACTCCCCGTTAGGTACTGTGGGCCCCCAGAACTCAGATCGACAGGAGCTGATTGTTCGGTGTTGGTGATCTCTCGCCGAAATAGAAGAACACTCTGTCTAAGCGGTCCTCAATCGGTGCAAGAGGCCCTGTAACTGACGTTTCAGATCACGGCATTACGGGTGGTGATCCTTAATGGCCTACAGCCAGCCTTTCGGGCTCTGCAGTCATCTAATAAAGCACTTGATCTTTGGTCTCGAGAGACCCTTCGGCCCCTGTTCGGGTCCTCTCAAACGCCGCTCCTGGCCGACTCGGGGCCGCTTGCTACCACAGGACCCTGTTAGGCACTGTGGCCCCTGACCAACACAGGAGTCTCTCACTGTGTCAAGGACCCCGAACATTGCCCACCACGGACCCCGGTCCCGTTCCTGATTGGGAAATGGTCCCAAAAGGCTCCGACGGACATGGAATTGACTGTTTGGCTCCGCGTCGAGGCCCTATATAACAGGGATGGAGAGCCCTTAGAAGAGGGTCCCTGATGGAAGCCTTCCGACTGACGTTCCAGGTCACGGCACTGAACAGCTGCAATACTTCATGTGACGTACAGCCAAGCCTTCAGAACCTTATGCCCTCCAACGGGGCCCTTAATCGTCGGTTTCCGTGGGCCGCCCGGGCCCCTCTTCTGGCCTCATTGAACACTGTCCTTGGTCAGCTTAGGGCTCTTTGCGAACACAGCATCCTCTGTTAGGCGCTGTGGGCCCCTGACAGATGCACAATCCCCGACCAGTGTAAATCGCTGGCCATGCACAGCGGACCAGGATCCCTGAATACGACCTCCAGTTGGCCTTTTGGACCTTTCGGGCCCTCAAATCGGGCCCTTAATCCTAGGTCACGCGGGGCTCGAAAGGCCGTTCGGAACCGCCCGCTTCAGTTCGAATGTACGGCAGATAAAACGACCATAATGTCAGTGGCGCGCGCAAGGCAAGTTGATTGTAAAAGCGTTGCTAGTTGAGCTAACTCCTCAGTGACCATGTTCGTCTCGGGGGTTCAGCCTTTGTTCAGAACCGAGTGGTGGAATAATTACATAACATAGCCTGAACCACGCGAGCGTTCGAGCCTCAGAACAAAAACCTCGATCCCCGGCGTTGCAGTCTCCGTGTGCCGCGCGGCGCCGGTCTTTTGTTGACAGCAGGCGTAGTAAGCCGGTGAGAGAGGATGAAAACGGCAACGTTGTT